GGCATAAATTAAAATCTGTAATGGATTTTTGCCAAAGACATTGCGCTGTATTTCACACTGCAGGCTGTTTTTCTACTTCCACAAGTTGCCATGTGAAATTCTGCCTTGTGGCATTTGCATATTGTCAGCTGTATGTAAACTAGCTATTAGCACTGAAATAACAGCCAGAAACATCTGGACTTGACTGCAACATCTGTCAGCGGGTGTTGATTACTGACCAAGCATGCATTGCATGCTGTATGTAAGTTATCGCATCTGAAGCATGTGTATAGGGATACAGCCTAAATTTACTATGGAAAGACAGGCCAATAAATCTTGTAAACAGTGAAAATGGAGCCTGAAAAAACTGTTTTTCTCTGTATTTCCTCTCAATTCCTTCGACGAATCGCTTAGATTGTTTTGCAATGACAAGATATCCCCTTCAAAGCCCTTTTTTCCCAGCCGTGTTTGTGTACGGCCATGCATGTGTGTGCATAACCAATCCTCCTAAATGAGTAATTTATTCCTTATGGTTCACAAGAAGGTCATTCATTGCTGCATCCTTGGTCAAGGCAGAGCACAGAAAGAGAGGAAAGTAGCCTAATCAGAGAATAGAATGCTCTTCAGTTTAAAGGTGAAAGACTAACGATTGATTAAGATATGGTTTTAAAACACTGGGTGGATAAAATGTTCGAAGATTATATTTTTAGGCTGGATTTGAGTGGAGAAGGATGGTATTTACATATTTTAAAGAAATACGCAGATTGGGTAGAGTGCACTTTCTTTTACACGTGAGCAGCTCATGAGCCAGTGTTTTCAGTGTCTCAAAGTAGTTCAGTTCACAGTAATCTGCAAGTGCTGTGAGTTTGAGTCGCTTTAATGAGAAGAGCTTATGAGCCAGGTGTTGTCAACAAAAGAGATGCTTTAAGGGCTCCCTGTGGTTTTCTGTCAAAATAAAAACAGAAAATTACCAAGACCATAAATATTAGTATTGTAATTTACAGTTGTACTGCTCCTTATTATAGTAATAATAATATATTTACAATACTAATATTTTTATTATGTTTAATAATAACAATAATAATAATTATTATAATTAGTAATAAATCAAATTTATAAGATATTATTATTATTATTACTACTACTACTAAAGAAATATTAATAAGAAATACTATTGTAATATCACTATATTATTATTATTATATTACTATTGCTATTATTATTAGTAGTATTATTATTATGTTCATATTGATATAAAATCATAATGTTTTTGACTAAATTGTGCAGTCTACAAACAAGGAGAGCAAACCTGGAACAACAAAACAAAACAAAACAAAAAAATTCACATTTTGCATTTACATTTAGTCATTTAGCAGACGCTTTTATTCAAAGCGACTTACTAATGAGGACAATGGAAGCAATCAAAATCAACAAAAGAGCAATGATATACAAGTGCTATAACAAGTCTCACTTCGCTTAATGCAGTACATGTAGCAAGGTTTTTTTTTATTATATAATAAATAAAAAGAAAACAGATAGAATAGAAAAAGAATAGAGCAAGCTAGTGTTAGAGGCCTTTTTTGCTTTTTGTTAATTGTATAATAAATAAAAAGAAAACATAGATAGAATACAAAAAGTATAGAGAAGCTAGTTTTTTTTTTAAGAAAACAAGCAGTTAGTAAATGAATAGACTGCAAGTCTAAAAGGGGCAAGTTTTTTTAAGAATAGAATTAGAATAGAGAGTGCTATTTTAAATCTCAATTGCAATTTTTATCAGAAAAATCACATAGTTTTTTTTCCCCCCAAATCATGCAGCTATACTTTTTCACCTCAAACTAGCATTGCACTATTAGTGTCTGTTAAAGGTAGGCAGTAAACTCAAAATTATATTTTAAGTACATTTTACATTTTGTAGCCATCATTGTAGTTTTCAAGAAAATAAAGTGATTTAATTGATTATTTGTTATAAAAAAATAATAATAATGAATTAGATTCATGTTTGGTTTGTGAAGACTTTGTTTTGGCTGAAAATAGTTCCCAGAACAGTGACACAGTGCTATATATAATGGGTCATACGTTCACCCTCACAGATAAAAATTCTGAGTGCCTATCTTTTTTTTTTTTTTGGTTTATGTCCACTTCTTCATATCAGAGTGTCTCATCAGTCTCCACATTACTTTCTGTCTGAGATGAAATCGATGTTTCTGCTGGAGGCTTTGCTATTGAGGTTTTGATAGCATGCCACTGCCAGTGCTGTCTACCAGAAACAGTGAGGGAGATAGCACATAGGATGCAAGCAGTGCCTGCTCTGGAAATAACTTTGGCACTTCTTTTATGATGCAATAGATTTGAGAAAAGAAGTGAAAGAGTTGAACTTTAGTTCAGTTCTCTGAACAGCCTGGTCTCATATTTATACGTAGGTATTAATACGTAACATTTACAAGCACAAAACGTACACTTTTGTACGTTTTTATTAATGCTAAAACGTACAATTTAGACGTATTTCAACGTTTAAAACGTACAAATCGCTACGTATTTTTAGCTAAAAAACGTAAAAATATTTACGTATCGTTTATATCATTAAGATATTTGTATCCATGCATTTTTATCATTTTATCAATAAGCGATTTAGATTTTTAGACCCCTTAACCCATAGACATAATACATACCTAGACACCTCATTGGCCGCTTTGAGCCGTTGCTGCGATACGTCAACGCGTCCGCCATGTTTGTGAAGGCAAGACTGCCTTAAAAATAAATGGAGGTAAACGGAGGAGCTGCGGTTTTTTTCTGGATAAAAACACGTTAACGTTTACATTTATCAACCGATTTCAGAGGTTTGTGATCTACATGGAGTTAAAAAGAACTCTGCCTCCAGTTATTTAGTTAGGTTTGGAAAATTATTCATTTTCGTAAGAAATTGTGAGAACTCACACTTGTTGATTTGATTGATTTATTCGGCTTACAATTCTAATGTTAATGTAGTATAACTGTGACATACACATGTTTTGTAATTTGAATGTACATTCAATTAAATTAAGTTGTTTCATTGCTTTCTCTGTCTTCAACCCCAACATTTGAGCTTTTCTTGTGCTTCAGGTCAGAACACAGCTCATTCCCTTTGAAATACTGGAAGAAAATCAAAATAATACATCTTTAAGCACTAATAATTTACCATCATTGAGAAAATTGAATAAAACCAGCGAATACAAATCAAAAAGTGACACTCTGTTGTGTTTTTGGCGTATTTTATAGTTCTATTGTCAGTCACAGCATGTCAGAGAAAACGCCTTTTGTGGCCCATGACAATCAAAGTAAACATTACATGACAAGTAAAGGTTAAACGATTGCAGAAATGTTATTTATTTTAAGGTTTAAACTAAAGTCGTGTTTAACATTATGTAGGCATATTCTTGGAAACGAGCTGGCAGCAGAAATTACAACAAAACGAAATGTTATCATTTCATAAGTAAATGAGTAAACCATATAATAATGCAACTGAAAACAAGGTAATTCATATGACAACTAAAAACTAATAAAATGAATGCCGCAATTTCAATATTCATAAGGATTCATTTTTAGGTGTCGTCAATACGTCAGTTTTGTACGTTTAAATTCTGAAAATACGTCAGTATTGTACGTTTTAGTGCCTGTAAAAACGTAAGTAAATGTACGTTTTATAGAACCACATTTTACGTAAAATACATACAAATTATCATGAGATCACGTTGCTCTGAAACAATAATCAGATATCTGTTAGCTAAAGTTGGTCATTAAAAGTTTTCTTATTCACTTGTACTTTCAGTGTAATTTTGCATCAAAAGAACTTTAGTCTCCCACTCTCACATACTGTAAACCTGATTTCCATTTTTATGGTTTGGATGGATATAGAAACTGAAACATTTAACAATTAAAACAGAACATGTTTCTGTGCAGATAGAGCAAATTGTGTAGCTTTATATCAGGTAAGTGCTGAATAACTAACCATGTTCATTGGAGTCCAGAATTTAATCAAAGTCCCTTTTAGGGAAGTCAGTTCACTCGTCTGTTATCTTGGTAATGCCTCTGGGCAGCTATCTGTTATACAGACAATAGTCAAACAAGTACATCTTCCCCCTACTTGCATGGAGAAAGAATGAAATCTCTTTAATGTTTGTCAAGATTACATTTCAGTATGTTTCACATCAGCAATAAAATGTGACAACAGTGGTAATCATAAATTGTGCTTCTTTAGCAGATCAGGTTAATATGGATGTGATTTCCACACACAGTAAAAAATACAAATGCAAATAAGATTTTTTTTAATGTATTGCAGAGTTATATTGTACATTTCATCGTCCATTCTCATTACCTCTGTTTATACACTTACAGTTGACCTTTTCCATCATGTAACACTCACTTTAGAGGTTAACTTGAGATCAACTCAAATTAATCTTTGAAACACTGATAATGTAATTACACTGTTAAATCGAATCTTTAGCAGATGTAAAAAATAATATTTCATATTTTACATTGTAATGTTTTGATTCATCTGTTGCATTAGTTTTTATTTTTTTATTTTTAATTCATTTAGACAAAATAGTACAAAATTTTAATGTCAGCTGTCAGATATCATCCATATCATGAAAATAATTATCAGCTTCTTCGGAATCAGTCGGAATTGTAATATTGGTGCATATGTGTACCTTTCTTCTTCTAATACACACCTACACACACAAAAAAAAAAAGCGGTCAGTGGGCAGTTACCCAAGGTTATTAAAACTGAAACTAAAACTAAAAAAATTAAATAACCTAGGAAACTAGCTAGTAAACAAAAAAAAAACTAAATTGAAACTTGAGTCTTTACTCATGTGTGACTGTACCTTTAATATGAAGCCTTTTTGGGTCAATACGATACAAAGTTGTACCGTTTGAAAGGGTGCAAAGCTTTTGACAGCTTTTGTACCTTTTTTTTCCCTGAGTGTAGAGACACACTTTAATATTCCAGTTAGTTCTAACATCTCTTTTCTTTTCTGTGTCAGTTACAGACTGTCGTATCCTGGAGAATCTTCAGCGCTACGCCTCCCCAACTTACCTGCCTGTCAACTTCCAGCTCCTCAACACAGAGTCCTCCTTCTTTCTTAAGGAGGCCACCCAGGACTTCATGCGCAACTCTAGCTTCCTCTCCAGAACGGAGCTGTTCTTCATCCACCAGGCCAGGAGACCTCCCATCATCAATGCCACGTATGGAACCTTTGCGGTGGAGGAGCCTATTCCTTTGGATCTCCTCCAGATGCCTGGCTCCTTTGTGGCTTCTTCAACTCTCTTCACCTTCAACTGGAAAGTACAAACCTTTGTTCTCAACGAAATGATTTACCTGAACAAACCCAAGGTTCAGGTCTTGTTCTACATCGCTGGGAGGGACTGGGATGACTACAGCGCCGTGGACAAACTCCCTTGCGTACGGATGTTCGCCTTCCACGAAACCCAGGAGGTCCATGGGAGCTGCAGGTTGCGAGGGGACATGGGCGTCTGCGTCGCTGAGCTCGAGCCTCTTCCTGGGTGGTTTGCACCTCCTAGTGTTGTCCCTGGACGCCAAAGGGGTCCGGATATGTCAGAAGGAACGCCTGTTGAGCTGTACTACAGCTTTCGGGCCGCAGAAGAAGGAGGTTGTCTTTCTGAGGAGTTAGGGGTCAAGAGCTCCGCTCACTCAGATCAAGAGGGATTGTTTGGGTCGCCGACCTCTACACCCATGAGGCGCATCGGGAGTGTAAGATTATTCCAGAATCCATCTGCTCCGGAATTATCAGAGCAGCGTTTGGATGGGAATTTTGCAGTGTTGGTACCATCCGCGCCAGTTCGGCAAAGGGATACCGTGTCAGCATATGTTGCAGCTTCGCCGTACTCACCTGTGGAGATGTTCACTCTCAGGTAAGAGATCTTCTGATGCAAGCATCTCTGCTGCATTAGCAGATAACTATCCACATGAGACCTTTACCAGGGGACTTCGTGGCTGTTACAAAACACTCTTAAAAATAAAGGTTCCAAGAGGGATTTTTCACCCTTCAGTGTAGAGTGGGATGTAACGATATTATCAATATCGCGATAGCATCAATATTTTCGTGGTCACATGACGTTATGAAACGATAGGTCTTCTGGGCAAAAAGTGTAGTTTTTAAAATATATTTAAACTTCTTATTCTAACATAAAAGTTGTGTTTTGGGCCATTATGCCTTCACACAGTATCTGTCAAACGAACTAAAACTGAAAGCACAATATGGCTTAATCCCGTCATCAAGCGTGCACGTCATTCAGGGATTCAGCTCGTGATCCGGTGTGTTCCGTGCCTCAGAACGGCTCCATTCATAGTGAATGAATGCAGTCAACTTGTTTATTGCATGTGCTGTGAGCTTAGCGCACTTTTGGGAATGCAACGGCCACCAGTTATGCTTCATTTTCACGGCAGATGAGTACAGCATTTCACTAGATTTGTAGGGAGACACGTTTTTGTGAGCATGTTTTCACTGAAGCTGGAGATTTCCTTCAAAATAAAAGCTCTACTGTCGTTTCCATCAAAATAAAAGCTTAACAGTGCAGTATGAATTGCTGACATATAGCGGTTTAAATGCAGTCCAAATTCAAAACATCTCTTGCAAGTGTAGAAATTATGAAAGAAGTATTGTCATTTCCCTACTTTAGTGTAAAGCAAAAAATAATATACATATTAAATATTTATTTTCATTTATTTTACAGTGCAATTGTTTTACAATATATGGCTATTACTGTCATTGTTGTTGTTATTATTATAATATTCTATTTTTTTTTGCTTCCTAAAACACCAGTGTGAATTTAATTTAGACTGAGACAGTATATCGCAAATAAAAATTTTCTGACTTTTTTCTGACTTGTTTTCTTAGTTAAGAACATGGGTTGGAGCTCTTAAAGTGGTCATATGATGCTGCTAAAAAGAACATTATTTTGTGTATTTGGTGTAATGAAATGTGTTTTTGCGGTTT